CATTTTGCTGCTGCTTCCCACCGTGGGCGATCAGCACGCAGTCACCATGCTTGGAGCTGTAGATTAACGTTAGGACTACTGTAGAGCTTTGGACTGTCCGATCGGGCTGGCAGAGGAAAAGGACCGTATCCGACAGCATGGACATCGGAGACAGAATCTCTCAAGTTTCCCCGTTACTGGCCCGAAGTCACAGAAACATATCTGCTCAGCATATCAGCAGAGCTCATCTGGGTCCCACATAAATTGATTTTTCACCGTCTAGAAGTGCAGTCAGTTATTGCACAACTACAAATTATACCTTTGAATCTGGACTAGAAAGTATAAATACATAAGTTACAAAAATATCTGCATTTCAATGTCCCGATGCAGTCAGTGGTTTTCTTATACATGCCCACAGTGACTTCCTATAAAGAAGTACTACACCGATAAACGTTTAGCGTACATTTCACTGGACGTCACGTGTGATCCAGCGTTTGTAGTGCAACAAAACAGAATGTACGCATCCTGTAAGTATCTTTGACAGTTTAAAAGAAACTTCCTTCACAACGGTTTGTTTTCTCGTTCATTTTGAACTCTAAGCTTTTCTATTTAATTACAGATTTTTTTGTAGTATTTTCAATGAGTAAAACACCCAAAATTTAATCATTAACATTTTATGTAGTATTTCCTACCTTTTTACCATGTCACATACTACAGTCTAGTATGTATTAGACTAAAAGTATTTTAAACATGTGCATTTCACTAAAATGCATTTTGTTGGGTTTTGTTTTTGCCACAGTTTAACATTTTGAAAGGATTTTTCGGGCATTATAAGAAAACCAGTGAGCACGGACATTTAATAAAAAACACCACAGTTCAGGTTTTTGCTGGTTTTGGGCCCCTGGTGTCGGTTTGCGAATGGCTGAGACCGACTCATCAAATTCGATCTGTACAGAAAAGTATTGAAGCATCAGTGTCTGCTAGTTAGATCAGATTCTATTCAGCGATTTAGTTTTCATTGTTCATCTTTCTACTGAGTATTTCACATGAAGGGCAGAAGAATATTCTCATTTCCATCATTCCTCAATGATTGTAGAGAATGTCTACTGAGCAGATGAGTGGTCGACTTCAATGAACCCAAAGTTTTACACTCGATTCAGGACATACAGGGTGTCGTCAAAATAAGAGCTCAACTCTGGGGGACGGGAGTATAATCATTTGGGATAGCTATGACTTTGGAATGAATCACAAAAGCTGGTTGAACAATCCAAATAAAAGATTTGGTAAAATGCTAAAAAATTTCATCAAGCTTATAAAATGTATAACACAAACTCTGCACTTCCTACTGTCTACAATCAAAATTTATTGTTATTTTAGAAAGTGTACTGCAACATACATGGTGGGAAAGGTGGAGCGCATTTCAGATGAATGAAATCAAAATTCAATTTGATTTCATACCAAACTGAATTGTAGTTTTTTTTCCCATAATAATTACATTTTGGCACATCGAGCAAAGCTTTTAAATTGCTTTGCTAGTTATTCCCATAATGAATACTAAACCAGGTAACTCTCACTTAATGCTGAAGTACAGATTTTTATTTTGACGACACCTTGCATTAAGTTTGTGCAAATATTTCAGTAATTAATGAATGTTTAAAAAGGCCACTGGCCACTTGTGAAATGATTCATCTTTGTGGCCTTGTGCTTACCACACCTGAAGTCTTTGCCTGTCAGCCGTCTCAGATCCTCAACGGTTGGGTACTTCGGTTCAGTCGCCGCTCGATCTGAAATAGTTTCCATGTCACTCTTAGATATCAGATGTACTGTACATACTACTACTACTGCTTAACTATTCTGTTTCTACTCGTCATTGCAAAGTTATTCTTGTGGAGATGTTGCTTTAGAAGTTTGTTTTTTAAAAGTTGTTGTAAATGTGAATCATCTTTCTCTGAGCTCAGAGCTGAATTCTCGCCGGCGCCGTTTCTTAAGCCTCAGCGTTTAGAAGCGTGACGTGGACGTGGAGGATGCATCTGGGGTCTGAGAAATGCACTTTGGTATGACTGTCAAAAAAAGATTTTTAAAAACTGACAGAACTTGCAGACAGTTTTGTGAAGCTCAGCACTGAAACTCTTCTACAGTTCTTTCTTGCTTAGTGTGTGTCCAGTCGAACTCGTACGTCATTGGTGCCATTATTGTGCATTGTGTCACTTACAGTTTGAAGGATGATCCCGAGCTTGGGTCACCGTCACAGAGTTTTACTGTGTGTGTTGGAACAAAATAAAAATGTTGCAGTAAAAACAGTGTGTGCTAAGTATAACTGTATGATCTTACATAATAATTTAGGATACCATCATGTGTGTTGGCATAATGGCGATATAATTTTTAAATACAATGGTTATGAATACATAGATTTACATAGCACCATGAATATAAAACAGTAGCTCTTTTGAACAACAAGGTCCTGAGTACTACTTAAGGGAAAATTAAAATCAGAAGGTCGCCAACTGAAACGTCAACTTTATGGAGTACAATGTGCCACAATATATGATTCTAGCTTTTCTGACCATCTCACTGTACCGTATTTTCCGCACTATAAGACGCACTTAAAATCCTTTAACTTTCTCAAAAATCAACAGTGCACCTTATGTATGAATTGTGTTTGTGCTTACTGACCTCGAAACAATTTTATGTGGTACACGGCACTCAAAAATGTTTTAGTACGACTTTGGTAAGCTACGAAACCGGAACGCTTGATGGATTGTCGAAACATTACGGCTACCGTAGTCAGGAGCCTCGAGGACTCTGAGTATCTGGGTCCAAAACTCCGTCGCTTCAGGTCCCAAAGTCAAATAAACACTGTGGCATCACTGAGAGTTAAAAACCGTCTAAATCTTTAATAAAATGATCAGCGTTGCTGCTTTACCAGGTGTAACAATTAAGTTTGACATCCAGGCATCCATGAAAACAGAATTTATTAAATTTAACAGTTAGAAGTTAGCAGGAAGTTAGCTCGCTAGTTTCCACCTAAACATGATATAGCATGTTCTGACTGAGAGATTTCTGAAAAAATTAAAACATACAGCTCTGCAATCACTTCCAACATAAACAAAGACAGAAAACTAAAAAGCAGTGACGTTTGTAGGGTTACTGAAGTTGGACTAGCTGGTATATAATGATGTGCTACGTGATGTACCTGGTAGCGACACGGCTATGTTAGCATAAACACAGTGAAGCTGGAGGCAGTGTTGGTCGAGTTACTTTAAAAAAGTAATCAGTAACTAATTACTGATTACTTCCCGCAAAAAGTAATCCCATTACTTTACTGATTACAAAAATAATTAGTTACTTAGTTACTTTTTTAAAACATGATTTACAACCTGAATAGGTAATAAAGCAATAGATCTTTCAGCCCAATTCTACACGGTGGGCCATTTATAGGGATACACCGTAATAAAATGGGAATGGTTGGTGATATTAAAGTCCTGTTTGTGGCAAACTCCTCAAGATGGGTGGTGACCATGGTGGCCATTTAGAAGTCGGCCATCTTGGATACAACTTTTGTTTTTTTTCCCCAGTAGGAAGAGGGCCATGTGGCACATCAAAGTTATTGGTAATGACAAGAAAAACAATGGTGTGCTTGGTTTAACAGGGTCTAACCCTGTTAAACCAAGCACACCATTTTTAAGTACAGGTACTTAAAAAACGTAAGTACCTGTACGTTTTTTTACATAATCCATCATATAAAATGTAATGTAAAATGAAAAAGTCTGTTTTTAAAACTTGTTTTATTAGTTTTAATCTTTTAACTTTATGCATCAAGCAAAAATTTAATTATATGCAACATTCTCTGACTGGAAGAAATTTGTTGAACATTTAAACCTTTTTGCACATTCCAGCATATAAAATAAAATAGTTTTTTGTGTTTACACTCACTCTTTCAAATAGATGCGAGTAAAACACAGCAGAAAATAAAGAAAGTCAAAGACTCAGCGGTCCTGTTGCTCTATTTTCACCAGTATAGCAGGAGTGAGGCAGGCAGAGGTTTGCCCTGGTGCAGGTGTGTCGCAACGGTCAGTGGAAGGATCCGGGAGTTTCCCATTCTGTGGCAGCGTACTCTGTGCTTGCTCTGAAGTTTAGGGTGTTTTTCGCTGTAAAAAGTTTTCTTCACATGCAGTGAACAGCGGACGCTAATGTTTTTGTCACTTTTTACGGAATCAAACTCAAAGTAAGGTCAGTACTTCCACGCTTTAAACGCTGCACGGTCATACTCTCTCCCGCACTTGTCATATTATCCATTGTTGATCTGCACACAGCTGTTGCCACGAATGTCGCACTCGTTTACGTCATTCTCATGAGACACTCTCGCAAAAAAATAAATAAATCATGGCTTTAGTAACGCAGCGTGCTTACAGGAAAGTAACAGTAATCTAATTACCTTTTTTGCAATACAATCCCTTACTTTACTCATTACTTGAAAAAGTAATCGGATTACAGTTACGTTACTTGTAACACGTTACTGCCCATCTCTGGCTGGAGAATGAACGCTAACTTTTTTCCACTTGATAAAACTTAACGTGAGGGTTCCTGATGGTTGGGGACAAATGCAATCGCATTGGAGGATGCTGTAAATGGACCAAACTTCAGTCAGGAGAAGAACTGAGATAATCCATACACAATACGAGGTTAGTCATTAATATACTGCAACAACACGGGAATAGAGCAGCTGCGAGAGAATTCATCATTAATGAATCAATGGAACGGAAGTGGAGGAAGCAAGAAGAATTAGTTGAGTAAAGTTTGACTTTTTTGAAAGTTTTAAAGTTTGACTGTTTTGTTTCGCTTAATCCAGTGCGCCTAATGGTCTGAAAAATACAGTATTTAAATAAAGAATGAATTTAAAATTTGAACTTTGCTGTGAAATGAATCTCTGAAAGAAAGATGGCTCAGAAGCAGACGTGAAGATTACAGGAAAAAAAAAAAAAAAAAAAAAAAAAGGCTCCATGATGACATTAAAAAAAAAATGCTTTTAGTAAATGTTTTATTGCAGAATGAGCAGATTTACATGGAAAAGGCACGAAGAAAACTATACACGTACAAATGAACTCTAACCTTTCCTCCTGATTGGCCTCTATACATCTGTTTGGGTAAAACTACACTACGTACACTTTTACTGTTCTCTCATTAGCAACAAGCAATTCTCCATAAACTGAACTACTCTGCTTTAATCATTATTTGTATTACAGTGCTGTGCTACAGTTCAGACAAAGACAAAACTTTCCTTCAGAAGATTAAGTGCATAAGTGGAAACAAAATCAATACAATCAATGCCACAGTGAGTACAGGCTCATTTCTGTACATTTCCTTTTCTATGAGCATTTACATCTTTCATTTACAGTGTTTTCAGGCTGCTTGTACAAACAGAAACAGTCTGCATGTTTTTACTTTATTTACTGCTCACTGATCTGAACATCTTCTGTTGTTGATTTTTGGCGGTAAATTCTCAAACAATAGCCAGTGTTCAAATAATGTCTGAGCGTGCTCGTGACCAGCACGAACCAATCCAGTCACAGCGGGAACCATCACACCCGTGACTGTTAGAGCACATCATCGCTTCAGTCCCAGTGGTCACCTCACTGATTGGGTTGGGTGGTTTTCAGAGTGATCAAAAAGGACAGATTTTTCACATTAAAAGCCTTTTAAGAAAACAGATTACACCCTTTTCAACTTTTAATGTGAAAGGTCTGGACTCCTTAGTGTGAGTCGTTATTGTGATCCAGTTCAAAATCAAGTCCATGTGAATGTGTGCGTGTAACCTTTAAAATGTGAACTTAAACCTGTGAACTTCCTGTCCCACAGGGGGGCGCACTCGAGCTCATCCAGACAGAATGCAACTCTGTGGAGCTGAAGAACAAAAATGCTGATTTTTCTGGGGTAAAATTTTTTCTTTTCCATCAGGTTTTCGATTGAGTATACAGAGTTCAATTTGTAGATTTCCCCCCCCCCATTTTTTTCACGAGGAGGCTGATAGTAATGGCAATTACTAAACCTGAATATAGTCAGCAATCGCTGGCATCACATCACCTGCAGCTCGAACAGGTAAGATGACCAATGAGACAGAAACATGAGGCTACCTGTTGCTTTGGACGGGGCGTGATGAGTTCAGCTACATTCATTTTGTGTTTTTACCCTCAGAACAAAGTCAAAGAAAGACTTTCAGATCTGAGCCATTACAAACACCTCAGCTGCTTCGGCTTGTTTCATTGGTTGTTACCTCTGCCTGAAAAACAACAGCATTTTTATTCATGTGCAAAAATGCTGATTACCAAATATCATTTCCTTGTAAGAAATCTGATCACTCACTCTGTGACAGATGTTCTTCATAAGTTATTTCTATAAAGTTATGTGCATTTCATTTTGCTTCTAGTTTTAAAATAATCCGAGAAAATGAAATCCCATCAAATAACTCTCAAAAACATTTAAATGTATATTTATCAGTCTGTTAGCATAGATGATAGAATAATATTCATTTAGTGAATTTCATTTTTGTAACAAGCAGTCAGGCATGTCTAAAGTACCAGGCTCAGTTTTAGCCTCTCCGTGATCTCACTGTGCCCAGGCACAGAGGGAATAATCCACGTGTGCAGGGTCAATCCCTCTTTGGAAATAAAAACACAGGATCAGCACTTCCTGTTTGCTTTTAGCCTTTTCCACAATCTTAACTCAAAAGACATAAATCCTGAATGTCTCAGCTCCACGAGTCTTCTTAGAGTGCAGTGTGTTTACATCATTACATCATGAAACGCTCCTATGTGTGACCTGACCGCAGTGATGGAGCGGAGAGGACCGGGCGCGGCACTGATGTTAATACTGCGAGGCTTTGCTTTGGAAACTGTGAGCAAACAGCTTTTCACCAACTAAACGAGTCCCCAAAGTGTTCATGTGAACTCCAGGCAAACATGGCAGAATATTGTGTGTGTGGCAGTCCGGTGGGCGGTCGGTTTGTTTCTATGGAGATGAGCTGAGGAGTTCCTGTCTACGCCGCATGATCTCCACGAACGCCGCGCGGTCAGCCGCTGCCTGAGGATTGAGAGAGCAGCAGGCTGCGGTTTGAAAAAAAGGATAAGGTACAGCAGAGGGAGGGAAGAGGAAGGGAGGAAGGAAGGAGAGGAGCTGGGTGGAGCTCAGTGGGCGCCGCCTTCATCGAAAGACTCCACCCCTGAATCACAGGTGCTGGCTGCCAGTTTCTCCTGCCGCCTCCTCATGATCTCCTGCAGCTCGGAGCCTGCACTCTTCTGGAGACGCAGACGAAACAGAGACATGAACAAACACTCATCAGGACACAAACGCACATTTGATCTCGGGAAACTCTCGAGCGCCGCCTCGTGAGACGAGCCCATTTAGACAGCCTGCCTGACTCATTGCAGTTTAGTTTTCCACCAATAATCACGCACTAAAACCACTTTGTTTTTGCTGAGCTTTACTGAAACAGAGTGTTCCTCTCCACAGATTACAGGTGGCCATCCAAGGGTAAAGGGAAATTTAAGAGAAAAAAAAAAATTCTCCATGAACTTGAAACGTCAGAAACTACGATGTAATTATAAACTTTTTTTCTTCAAGCTGATCTTAAGTTTGAATTTTGGTAATTATCCACAGCTTTTATTTACATCGGTCTGTTACCTTGGACAAACTACAAGCTCCTGCTTTCCCGGACCACCTCAGCCTGTTAGAGCGCCCCCGAAAGTCTCACCTCGACCTCTGAGCTTTTCAAGCAATAAATGTAAAATCTACTGAGCGTCAGTGCCATCGCTTTAGAAGATTTTTTCGGCGCGTTGAGGTGAAATCTTCTGTCGGTCAGAGCCTAGCGGCGCCAGCTGGCTGCAGTTTGGTGTAAACTCAGCCTCGGGAAGCCTTTGGCGACTGCCAAGCTGCAAACAGCATGTGGATGAATGTGTCTACGGTGTGGTGTCAGGAAGCATGCTGGGTAACGGGATTTTCTGAAACTGGTGGCACAAACACCTGCTACACCAGAGTCTGTGTGTTCCCAGAGACGAGATGATCTGGAGCAGTTCGTTCACCGCAGGGAGAAACTATAGCGTTTGAGGCCGAAGTGCCGATATTTGTGCAACCAGCTGCAGGTGGAAAGAAGCTTGAGGTGTTCAGGTACGAGAAGTGATCAAAAAGATTACAGGAAGCAGCCAATTACAGGAAAAACCCTCATGCCACTGAAATTTAATCAGTTTGCTCTTCAGCGTCGTCTCATGTGCACCTCTGGACCTCTTCCAGATGTTTCCTGTTGTGACCCGTGAGTCCTCCTCAGAGCTCAAATGTCACATTCACATCTCATGTAACAACAGTTATACTAAATTAGTACTAAATTATACTAAATTAGCAAAATTGCATTTTTACTTTAGTTTAATGAGTTCAAACTATTTTCCCTTTTTGTTATATTTCAAAAGTCTATTTTCATATTTAGTGAACTAAAATGTTTTTTTCACATGTAGTTTTACTTTAATGAGCTTGCAAAAGGTCCAGAGGTGCAGAAGAAGATCTTACAGGCAGATTGAACAATTTTAGGCAAGTGTTTGGTTGACATCTGAAACTTTTTGGTCACTTTATTTAAAAAACTGTTTTAAAAACTGATCCAGGACCACAGACAGCTAATTTATACTTACCAGACGCTTCAGTATTACAGGTGCTTTCACAGGTATGTCGCCACTTTACTTATCTAAGATGGTATTTCAAACCATTCAGCATGGTCCATGTCTAGATTGTGGGTTCAGCAGCTGATCTGAATCTGGATGTTTTCAGTGTTCGTTTCTTTATAAAGGACAAACTAACAACAGTAGATATTAAATCTAAATTAAGTGTGTTTAAAAAATAAAAATATGAGCTAAAACTAACAATTGATGTGTTGGAGGAAGTCCTGAAACCCAGATCCGTACATGGAAAATGTGTTTGCACATTTTACCAAAAGAAGGTGAAAATTACTACACATCCAGGTTTCTATGGGAGGGTGGGGCTGTGAGTTAGCAACAGGTGAGGGTCAGAGGTCAACAGGAAGGGCATTGTTTGGGAGCTGCTTCATTCAGGGAGATTAAGAAGGACTTTGTGCACAGCCACAGCAGGAAGCCTAATGCTGACTACCTTAAAAATGCTGCTACACATGAAACATCTGGAGCCTCGTTCTGATGGCCAGATTCAGGAATTCTGAGAAAAGAAACTAGTCTGGAGTCCTGTGTCGATACGAACAAATCCTCCGGTGCAACCGGTCAATGTTGGTCTTCATCTGTGGGCTAATTATAGACTATAAATCCAAAAGGGCCAGGTAAAGAGAGCTGACGGGAAAGTTCTGTTAGATGAAAAACTCCCCAATATCAACAATCCAAATTCAAAAAAGTTTAACGCACTAAGACTCATTTAAGACTTGTTCCCCCCAAAATCAAGACCAACTAGTCCTAAGCTTGGAATACTTTTCCTAAGTTGAGAACAACAAGTCCGAAAGAAGCAGCAGTTGCTGCAGCATCTTGGGCCTTTTTGGCTTCTAAGTCATGTCACTAATTAAGAGAAACAGGAGTCCAACAATCTAAATTCAAAACCTTCCAAACTCGCCAACAGTCCCAAACCTATGGCCACATCAAGACCAGCAAGGCCAAGTCAAGAAGAAGAGCAAGACACAATAATGGTAAATGTTGATTCAATTTTTGTTGTTGAACTTAAAGTGGTTTATTGACCATGATCCCCAACCCAAAAAAGGGCCAACAATCCAAAAGTAAGACAGGTAAGTCCCAGTTAAGACCCCTCAAACATGCGCCTCACGCCAGGATGAACAAGTCTCGCGTTCGCCTGACATCTTCTGACCAAGTTTAAAAAAAAATAATAATAATTAGTACTAACAGATACTGGAACATGTTGGTACCCAAAGAGGAAATAAAATTAAGGGTTTACTTGAATCGCATTAAGTATCTTAATTTTGTCATGAGTCATGGAGGACCTCCTGTTGAATACCACAGCATGTAAAACCCCATGAGTCCTCAATCTCATGCAGTTTCCTTAAATCTGGCCAACAGAATGAAGCTGCATTTACATGAACACGATACCTTTAATGAGTGTGGTAACAGAATCAGAAGATCAAAGGAGGCTCAGAAGAAAACCTGCAGGTGGGAAACAGACACCAGAACACCAGACCTTGCCAGAGTTTGGCGACAGAAAGCTTAAAGACAGAAAAGATCGTGAAGAGGCCTCCAGCTTCCAGACACAAACACATGGCAGCGAACAGATTACAGAGATTACAATCTCTGACCCCTCAGATTATCTGACAACGTCAAGATCAGGATCATAAGTGCTTCTGTTGTCTACAAATAAAACGCTTCCCTTTAAAGAAGTTTAGATTTTATTACAGGAAGTGATCCGATTTGTATTCCAGCACAAAACGTTTTAATAATAATAATAATAATAATAATAATAATAATAATAATAATAATCCTCAGCATTGAGGTGTCTGTTAACACCAACAGCCTGTTGGCTCCCTCTGGTGGTCAAACTCAGCGACTTAGTGAAAATGAAAGAGGACTAACTTCAGTAATCAGTTAAATCGGCGCTGACATGTCAGATACTCAGATTGTTTTGTCTCCGTTTCCTGCTGCACGCGTTTGTCTGATGAACCAATCAGCTGTCAGGAAGCTTGGCCTCAACTAACAACACGATCTGATAAAATGCAGTAATAAAACCACACTGACAGACACTAAAGTGAACAATAACACGATTTCACCATCAAAGATTCATTTGTGAAAACTAATCTGTCCTAATACAGAACGTTTGTGTCAATGATCCTTTAATCTAAGAACATAATCATGATGAGGATGTCTCTAAGGAAGCTGTTTAAACTCAATAAAGGCAGGAAGTACAGGTCAAAATTCATTTTTAGATTATTTGAAACTTAAAGTTGTAGTTTGTCAGTTTTATTCTTTTAATATTCAAACTTTATTCGTTAAATATTGTGGCTCCACCATTAGATTCATGGGATGCATGGGACTGACGCTTCTGTAAAGTATTATGGATGTATAATACAGTTATTATTGTAATGCAATCTTAAGCTATTTGCAGTTCATCTCCTTTAGTCCTTAAAGAAAAAGTTAAATCCTTTTAATAAAATGTGTAAAGTCTAATTATTATTCTTCAAAAAGCTGAAATATAAAAAATAAATAAATAAAAAAAATTACCCAGACTTTTTAAATAGTCAAAAGTCGGTTTTGTTTTTGATAAAAAAAAAAATCTTGTCCTGAACATGAAATTAAAATAAATACATCAATTAATTAAAATAAAATAAAATAATAATGAACGTGACTATATTTTCAGGATATTAGAACAGGCTAACTTTTCATTTTATTGGGTGTAAAATATTACTGTTCAAATAAGTATGAACTCATTAGTGAAATATAAAGATTATGAAACCTAAGACCATTTTAACTTCAGCGTTTAAATTATGCTTCCTGTTTTATAAGAATATATCCTACATTATGACTGCCTCATTCTCTAAATACACAAACTTTACTCTGAAAATATATTTTAAATACGTTTGTATTTAATTAAAATGTTTTTGCTGTTCTTGAAGATTTGAAGTATGAGGTTTGATTACTGTAGTTTTATTTCTAAAATATTCCAGCTTTAATCAAACCAAACCTTTATTTTGAAATACTGCACACATTTCCTCAGAGTGACTTCCTGTCTCTGTTTCTTTCCTGCAGTTACTGACATTTCTGCTTCCTTTACTTAAAATCAGACTGATTATAATGAATAGGAATAAATCTGATGGTGACGTCGGGTCTGAGCAGTGACACCCACCTCGAGCGCCGCCTTCTGCACGGTGACCTGACTGAAGACTCGGGCGCCGTCGTCAGGACAAACCGTCCTCAGCTCCTCCTTGTTGAGCGAGAAGAGCTGAGCGCCAGTGAGCACGCCGAGGCTGGTGATGGTGCTGCGCGCACACACACACACACACACACACACACACACACACACACACACACACACACACACACACACACACACACACACACACACACACACACACACACACACACCATTATAGCCTCTCCAATTATGTCCCCCTTTCCTTTTACAGTTTGTGGTTACACACTACAATCATGGGATGGTTAAAAATGATGACGGGTAAAGAAAGTGACATCATTTTATTTATATGACCCGCTTTGAAGCATGAAAGTCACACTGTGGATTATTTTACTTTGAAAAACTGTCATTAAAGCTTCCAGAAGTGAACGTTTCCTGTTCTTGGTCATAAATCCAAACGTTTTAGTCACATGACTGTCAGGAACATGCCTGATTGGTCACATTCAGACTTGACTCTCAGACTTGAGTCCAGTTTGTGTTTTTCTGGTTTCCTTCCTACTCTAAACACAGGTTTAAACTTTAGGATCAACTGAGCGTGTGGGTCAGTGCGGGTTAAAGCAGCAGACTTACACGGGGCTGAAGCCTTTGGCCTCCAACCATGCTTTGACCTCTTCTGGTGTCGAGTCATACGTGATGCTGACCGATGGCGTGCTGCCACTGCGGGCGGGACCCTGAAACTTCTTCTGGGCGCTGCGACCGAGCGTCAGCCTGTGCATCAGCTCGTCCTGGACCTCCTCCATGTTCGACTTCCTTCCTATGGACAGAAACACAAACAGGGTTACCTGTACCATGTCACCTGCCTCTGATGGTCTGGATTCTTTAAGTAGAAACATTTATTCAGCAAGTCTGAATATTAAAAGTATTCAAACTGATCACGGTTTGATTTTCTGAACTTTATTTTAAAAAGATGGGATTGTTTGTGTTTTTAGTCTAAAACAGGTGTTGGGGCTGAACAGCTGGATCAGCAGGTGTTTCTGGACTTACGGCTGCCAGCGGCAACAGCAGGTTTCTGGCTGTTTTGCTCCCTCATGGCGACACTGCCCATGTCGCTGGACGCGTTGCTGTTCTGTCGGCTGACTGTGCTGCTGCCGGCGGCCAGCTTTGTGGGCTCGGCGGCCGGAGGAGGCAGTGGCGGCGTGGGGACCCTGGCGGGGGCTGGAGCAGGAGGAACCGGTGCGGGGGCTGGGGGCATTGGTGTGGCAACGGGTTGGCTGGGGACAAACTCTGTCCTTGTGGTCTGTTTCTGCAGGATACAGATGAGTTTTTCAGTGTACAGTTGAGTGTACAGGTGAGCATGTCTGTTCATCTCCAGCTCCATGTTTTACTCATGACTCCTCAAGAGCAGCTTTGCATGATTCACAGTTCAAAATAATCCTCATTTATCTTATTCAGCGCATTAGCTGCAGCTCCTCCCTAAAAGCCTGCTTTCTTCTTATTGGCTGACTCCTGGAAGCCTGCAGAGGGGCGGCACATATTGTTTTCAGCTGTCTGTATAAAATAAATTGGATTTCTACCTCAGGAACTTTAAATTGAGCTCGCAATGAATCATTTTCCACATGCCATCAGGTCAACTTTGGGGGCGGGGCTTGCAGCGCTGAATATTCCTGATTGGTCAAGCCCTTCAGGTAATTTTAAGCCACCAGTATCTGCAGCAGCTTTTAAAACATTTTAAAGCACAGCCTCTACTTTCTCATCAGTCAGATTTTTCAGGGTCAGGGTTTAGGCTTCCTGCAGTCAGGGTTTTCCGACCCTCTGCTGGAACTTCAGGTGGTGTAAAAAAATTTAAAAAAAGGACCTGGACTAATGACGAGACACCTCTGTGAACAAAGAAAAACTGTTTTGATCTTTGAAATATCTAAAGCGGTGGAGTCTGTTCAGAGCTGGAGGCGAGCAGAGTGCTTCCCTCGAAACAGCAACAATCAGAGTCTCAGTGGGGTTTACCTCGTTAAGCTCTCCCAGTAATTGCTGCCAACAAGAAATGAGACAGATGATGGCGATGAGACGATGAATCAACATGTGTAACTCACTGCAAACTGAACCAGGGTCTGTGAGGAGCCACTACTGGTCACTGACCTGATCCTAGAAAACCTCTTAAAGGGACAGCCCACTGCTTTATTTTAGCCTTGCTCAGACAACAGCGGCACCAACAGTAAATGTTTATTCAGCGATCTACAGCAGCGCCACGAAGAACCGAAGAGAAACGTCACTGAGTTTCTGTCGGCTTTGGCATTTTACACTGAAAACCTCCACAGGAAGTAAAGTATTAAAGATAATCCATCACAATTGTAATCCGTTAAACCACAGAAATTCCACCTTTAAAGATCAGCACGTTTACCCTTTTAGAATATAAGTAAAAATAAACTGAAATAAACTAAGGTTTAAAAATGTATTATCAACATTTCATATTATACTATAAATAATAATAATACTACAGTGGTCCCTCACTATAATGGAGTTCAAATACAAAACAGCATTTTGTGCAATTTTGCATTCTTTTTTCTTTTTTTAACAGCGCATTGTGTTCTACATCCTGATTGACAATGATTGGCTGTAGACCAATCAATCTCGTGCCGTGTCTCCTGTACAATGCAGAATGCGTTCAGCATGTCAAATTTACAAATTACAAATTTTCAAATCTTCGATTGCTAGCAGTGTGATCTGGAGTGCTGTATTGTATGTTTTCTCCCCAACAAACACAACAATGTCAACAAAACATTTTGTACCGTCAGAGGCAACCATGGGTGCCTTTGGTTTCATTCTATAATATTGGACTTATTTTTCTACGAAGGTTTGAAGAGTGTTTAAACAAGAGAGAAAAGTGTGAAAATGTTCATGCCTGTCTGAGAAAAGTGTGTAGTGAGGGGTTTTACAGCCTTAAAACATCTATAATAATTGTAAAAAATAAAGTTGGCTACTTCATGGATTTCACCCATCACGGGTCATTTTTAGAAAGTAATAATAATAATAATAACAATAACAACAATAACAACAACAAGTAGTAGTAGATATTAGAACAATAAGTAAAATGTCCTTGGAGCTATGACGGAGCTCTGGGTCCTCCTGGTCCAGTCCACAGGACTGAGAGGAAAAACAGCTTTAATCTCTCTCTCAGCTGAGAGTCATTTCATAATTTAAAGGTAACCAGATTCGCTCAAATGTGACACTGTCCCTTTAAGATCACAGCAAATCAAACGCAGGAAGTGGAAACTACAGCGAGCTAGAAACACACACCCAGCTCGTCCTACCTTGAACAACTCAAACTCCCTCCTTGGCATCATAAGCTGATGATTGATCATAAAGACAGAACATGAATTGAGGTGACTGAGATGGGACAGGAAGTGAGCCGCTGCGGTGAGCGTCAGAGCGTGCGTTACCTGGACGGTGTGGCTGTAGATGGGCTCTCCTCGGCTGGTCATGTCCACCGCTTTGGTGATCTCCAGGATGTTGTTTGGCACGTAGCCCGTTGCACCGCAGCCGTTACGAACCTTCCACCACTGCTTCCTGTCGTCCAGCACCTGCCAGGCAAGAGTCAGGGATTACTTCACTCAGTCTCCCCCTCCTCCTCACTTCCTGCTGCGTATTTTCTGTTCCCATAGAGATGGGCATGTTTAATACGACATGAAGTCAATGTCTACACATTAAAGCCCTGAACACTCAGTTTATCTCAGTTTTTTATACTCTTGGATCGCTTTGATGTCATCTTAGACACAGAAGCCCCACCTACCAGCTTTTAAAACCTTCTCCAGCCAATCAGAAGAGACCTGTTTTTAGGGGAAGGCACTTTCAGAGAGGAGGGGCCACACTAAGGTCTAGTATCAGCTACATGAGGATTATTCTGAACTGTGAATCATGCAAAGCTACTCAGAGTCCAGGAATAAACCACGAGCAGAAGAAAACTAATATGATTACCTCAACCACCTCGTCTTTAAGCACCGACAGCTCTGTGTTGTTCCTCCCCACAAAGTCGTACTTCGATTTGGCAAACATTTTGGGCTGCCCTCTGCCATCAGCGTCGAAGCCTCTGAAACACACCAACAAGGAAGACTTCAGTCCAAAAAAGAAAGAGGACCCGAAGCAGCACAGCAGCTCCACAGGGCCAAACACCGAACTTTAAAGGTAGATCAGTCTCCGAGGAGGAACATCAGGTCAAACAAAAACCTCTTCTCACTTTAAGTCTGATCGGTTTGGATCTGACGCCATGACGCTGCTGAACATCGTAAAAATGCGATGACATAAACTAAACGGCTGCAGCCGTGGAGAAATGTCCCACCGACAGATCAGAGGAGCGTCAGCCAGAAGAAGACAAAGATCATAGCGAGCGAAGAAGAAAACCAGCAACAAAAAAAACCAATCAGCAGCAGGAGGACAAACAGGAAGTGACAGAAGATTTATCAATATTTTAGCTGATTAAAGTTTACTGATCAATGATTATATTTCCTCACCTCTGTTTTATATTCAAATATAAATGAAATGTTCTGACGTTGATAATTAAACTGAGTCACATTCAGTAACACTTCATTAATGCATGTATTATTTTCAACGTTAACGCCATAACTGCATTAATGCGGCAAATCTACGTTTGCTCATTAACGCGGATCGCCCCGTGTGAGGGCTGCATAGAATCAATGCGTTAGTGCGGTTAGTTCGTTAAGGCGGGTCGCTCGTTAACGCATTAGCGCCGTGAAGCCCCTTGCACGGGGCGATCCGTGTTAACTCGCTAACGGAGATTTGCTGCGTTAATGCGGTTATGGCGTTAACTGTAACGAGATTAACGCTGACAGTGCTAGTATATTTATATTCATTTATTATGAAATCTTATTAATTATTCTATTTGAGCATGCATAAATATTTGAATAATAATTATTATTGTTATGATGTTGATGAAGAAGAAAAAAAGGAAAATTAGATTGAATTCTTTCTTAATTCTGGTTTGTTATATTTTCTTTGTTTACATACGTAGTTGTTTAACCATTTATTACTTTTGAAATATCTTCATTTGAATTTTTATAATGAATTTCTATTTACTATTTTCTTTATTCGCTCATGTTTGAACTTCCTCTTTTCTTTAGTTAATTTTTTAGAAATTTTGTTTTTAGTTCATCTAATCATTGTTGATTGTTGTGTGATTTTTCTTTATTCTGCTGTATTGATTTTGCCCCTCCCAGGCCTCCGTAGAGCAGAGCAAGCACAGCAGTGGGATCAGTTCTCCAGGGCGTCATGTGACCTGCAGTTACCGGTCTACACGGCGGCTGGCGGCGTGTTTGAAAGCAGCCACGGCCGTGTCCTGATCCAGGATCTGCATGCGTTTGTAGGAGGTGTTGGTGAAGGCATACCCGTCAGCAGGGGAGAACCTCTGCAGCGCCACCTGCAGCAGAAACAGAAATCATACCACGAGTGAGTACCGCGTCAGCGAGAGAAAAGCTTAACTCAGAGCCACTTTCACATCCCGCCCCTTACCTCCTGAGCCACCCACGGCCTTGGGTCCTCCGGTCTCTGCAGGTTGGCGTTGGCGAGGCTTTCAGCAAGCTGAGCGAGCTCCTGCTCACGACTCGGGGTTGTCGCCGGCAACGCAGGTGGTTCCCAACCATCACGAAACCTCAGAACACACGGCGGGAAGTAGTGGTCCTTCGGCCACTCCAGCCTTTAGGAGACCAAGATGTTGATCAGTCAACCAATTAAATCAGTCGACTAATCCATCGGTTACTTCCTGTCTGACCTGCTCTTTGTCCATCCGTCTCCCAGGGCAACCCACAAGTGTCTCTCCTCCGCCGTCCCCGAGGCGTGAAGGAAGTCGATGGCGTCTCTGGTCAGCAGAGGAATGACAACGCTACGAGCCAGATCAACGCTGCCCGAAGCCTGGATCACCTGAGCGGAAGGAGGAGGAGGGTGTGACAATAAAAACTTTTTACTTACATTTACAACACTGTTTGGGGTTGTCTTAGGTGTAGCTGCTCTGGTGTTCCACCTGAAGGTCTGAGGGTGGAACTGAGACTGGAACCTGAGATTCAAGGTTGGAGCAGCAGTTGTGATATGTGACGGTGTTTGTGGACCAGCCATCACACTGATCTTAGGTCTCGAGTCCCTCATGCTCCTCCTCCATGTCAGGGGTTTGATGGGAGGAGAGATTCTGCCTCTCAGCTAAAGGATGGATGGATGGATGATAGGTGGAGCCTCTATCTTTCTTTAGTTCTTAAGGATTTATTCCAGCTCCATGCCTGAAGTCAGAGCACATACAGGAAGTAGCTGTGTGAGGCGCTAACGCTGACTTACCATCTTTAGTGGTGTGAACAGGAAGTGGACCAGCTCCACGGCACTCGGGTTTTGGATGTGGTCCTTCAGCTTCCCCTGCAGACGGAGCACAGAGAGCTCATGAGGCAAGAAGCAGGTTCATCACCAACGAAACTATTCAGTCAGTCTGACAATAAATAATCAATACATTTAACCTGCGCAAGAGAAAACACGGACAAAAGATTCATTTATGATCAGCGAGTTTTATATCAGCAAATAAACTGTGAGAGGAGGGAGGAAGGAGGAGGGAAGGGGAGGAGGAGGAAGAGAAAGAGGAGGTAGGAGGTACCAGCTGGTTGAAGGCATGCTTGAACTTCTGCAGACAGTCGACAAACTCGTCTTCGCTCGGAGGTTTGGAGCGCAGCGTCAGGACGCCCTCTGGTGGACACAGAACATGACAGAGGTCAGTTTGTTTAACTGAGGTCAGTCACAGGTCACATGACTCAGAGGAGGGAGGAATGATAGGTGTTCCTGTCACTCACACTAATTTATTAAAACAGTTTGGAAATAAATCAATAAATGTATTGTTGAGGAACGCAGTGATTCAGAAATCTGAAGCAGCCTAATGGGAAACAGCTGCCAGCGAGCTGATCTCTGATCAGCACATCCCTCACTCTGGTTTCAGCAGGATCTGTCTATGTGGACAGTACTGTATTGTAGTATCAGCACTTTTACTGCATATTTTGATTGGTGTGGCTCTGCTGCCTTCTCACCTCCGGGGCTTTTCTTCTTGCCCTTCTTGTTCTTCTTCCTCTTGGAGAGCTCACCGAAGGCCTCGGCAGCCTTCTGAAGTTTGGTGACGAAAAACTCAATGTCATCCAGGATGTGGTTCAGGATTTGCTGCGAAAAGGAGAAGCTGTGCTCAGGATCTTTTAATGTTTGATTCACCTTCACGGTGGCTTGCAGGTTTCCTGTATGCGTTATTTAATGATTAAACCTGAACAACAGCGCAGCGTTAAGCGCTCTCAGCTCCCTTATGTAAGCAGATTTGCTCTCCAAAGCTTCCAAACTCTGATTATGCTTGAATGAAGCAGCCTTCTTCAATCGGCTTAAATCTTCTATTGTGCCACAACCCCGGGCCGACCTCAGATTCAAGTTTAGCTCCTCCAGCTGCTCTCAGATCAGCCTTGAAACCCCACCCACACATGGGACACTCACCACATCGCGATCTACGCGAGCTGCCGTCATCTCCACCGGCCCATTGTCCTGCGACAGCCGTCTATCGTCTGCTGCAGAAGGGAGAAAGCGCATGTGTGAGGAAAACGTAACACCTGATTCATGAGAAAACATTAAAGTGTGACTGAAAACCAACACAGACATTTTTATTACTACGTCCTATCACCCATATCAGTTCCACACAGAGTCACATCACAGTAAATCCTCAAAGAAATAAAAAGCAGAATGATTCATCTGAATAAACTTTACCTGCAGCCTTTGTATTAAAAAAACAAAACAAAACTCAGTATTTGTTGCTTTCACTGTCAAAAAGAAAACAAAAGAACAAAACAAAAACAAAACCCATGTGAGCTTGAAGCAGCTGGTCAGAGATAATCCCAAATACTCTGCGAAACAAGCCGCTTAAACTCCTCCCACTTTAACCCAAATTTCTTCTGACTGGCTGTCCCTCACAACCAGAAGGTTTGAACCGCAGGTGACTGGGGCTTCTAGCAAGTGACATAACTCACCCTCGTACTGCTCATTGGTCCATGCCGACCAGGCTGCTGCACGACTCTTTACGTCCACCAGATCAGGTGACGGTGGCGGCTGGGGGGCAGGAGCGGAAGGGGGAGGGGGGATAATGCCATCGCTCTTCAGGATCATCCTGCAGACAGACAGATCAGCCAATCAGCTTCTAGGATGAGAAACTGGGCTTAGTAACCCTCAGAGTGTCTCAGCTCTTACTTCAGGGTCTCCGGCCGTTTTTTCACTTTGCTTCCTTTGGCATCCATCATGGCACTTTCTACGTCAGCTTGGATCAGATTTGCCTATCAGAGAAAGAACATAGATCATTAAGTTGTTCATCAGGATGAAACACATTTATAACGTGACATCTGACTCTGTCCAAACAGGCCGGTATTGTTGGAGTCCCACAGGGCTCTGCCCTCGGTCCTTTGCCGTTTACATCAAAGCTGAATTTTAATCAAAGTTTTCATTTACTAGCAGCAAACAGGTTTCACAGCAAACTCCTTCATCACACAGTAAAGTCAACTTTAAAGTGTTTTAGGACTTTTGGCCCTCAGGGCTAGCTTAGTGTCTTGCCCAATCAGAGGCTGTTTACTTTGATTTCGTCGCACTGGAACAGGTGGAGGTCGGGTTTGACCTGACCCGGCTCTTTGCAGATCAGAGCCAGGATGGAGTCGTAGCTGCAGGCGTTCATCACGGCCTGGCAGTGCTGGATCGAGCCAATCTGGAAGTTCTCCAGCTCGTTCTGAAGGAGAAAAACCCACAAGTCAAAGTCGGAGTGGGTCACACTGAGCTTAAAGCTGAGGTCACACTGAGAATCAGTGTTCTTTTTTTGCCTTTTGTAATTAAAACAAACAAACAACCCCCCCCCACAAAAAACAAAACCAAAAATAAATCCTTGTTTTTAGCCTCACCTTTGTTCCTAAGTCAATGAGGCTCACCATCTTCTCCTCCACCTGCAGCAGCATCTCCTGTGTCCACACTTTCCCTTTAGCATCGAGCAGACGGAGGCGTCTGATGCCGTCATCCACCGTGATCATCCCGTCTTTGCGGTCCAGCACAAACGTGGTCAGGTGCTGAACAGACAGATTTAGAGTAACGGCAGGAAACTGAACATCAGCAGGACAACAGGAGCTTCAAGCGATCACAGTCACAAACAAAACAGCTTATGTTTTTTATAATTTAAGTGGTGATTTTTGGTCACTTTGTATGTGAAAACCTTAAATTTGAACACGTTTGGTTTGATAAAATGCAAGGCAAGAGGAGCAGGCGTGAGCACCAACCTCCACATGATACTGCGATGTGTCTGTCAGGCTGTTGATGCTGGTTTTGGTGTAATGTTTCCTTTGTTCTGTTAAAAAGAACAGAGAAAAACTCTTATTCTGGACTGTGAATATCATGTTTATGTCTCCCTAAAGTCCCCCTGGGAACCTGACTGTGTTCATATTTCATGACTGAAGCTGGAAATTAGCATTCAGCTTTGATTTTATGGACTCAGCGAAGGCTTGAGGAAACTGTAATGAGAAGATGGTTTTATGCTGCTCCAATGACCTATAAGTGACACTAAAGCAACACACATGACGATGCTCTGAATTAAGCAGAGAAGAAGAGTGAACCTGGACATGTGATGGATTAAAGGTGGTGTTTGCAGGAGGACGTCAGTAATTCAGCTGCTTCAGAGCCCCTCCGGAAGGAGGTGACAGATGTTATCAGCTGTGATGGGAACAAAGAGGCCGCTGAGAGCCGCAGATAAGAGCCAAATCTGCATCGTCACCATTATCTCCACCTGGCAGGAGGACCGGCACACAGCTGCTCACAAATCAGCGGCAAAGCAGCAGAACAACAGCCAACAGCGACGTCCTTGCTAGAGTCCATGTGTCGTTTCAGTTTTTAAACAAACTCATTCACATGTGCACCAACAGGTAATGGTTTCACAGATTACCCATGATGCTCCTCTCCACCAAGCGCCAGGACGTTTGGCTTTTATTTGTGTGAAAACAAAAACAGCATTGAATCCTTCAGCTCTCATCACAGAGGAACGACCTGAGCTCAGGCTGGAGCTTCTTCTTCACTTGAATAAATTTCCTGTTCACACACGGAGGAGGGATCACATGAAAGTTTTGCCTTAAAGTCCAGCTGTGTGTTTGCGCGTTTTGGACTTCCTGCAGGTTAGAGGGCGGGGCTAACTGGGTTTGTTGAGACTGTGAGGGACGCCATTCCGTCATTGGTCCCAGGAAATGTTAAAGTGACCTATGTGATCAAAACCGTTGTTTAATCTTGGTTACATGATCAAACACAGTGCTGACGTCTCTTTGGTGACCTGAAGCCTCCTCGGACATGGGCAGCAACTCCAAACAGCCCCTGGGCGACTGACAGGGATCAGAGCGAATTAGCAAAATAAACCTGGCAATGAAATCCTGAGCAGAGCTGAAAGTTCAAAAGTTTGGAGAACAGCAGCCGACTTTTATCCCACGAATGACCCGAGCAGCCAGAGTAACCAGATCCTACATCACTGAAAACATGTCTCAGAGGAAACACTGAGCCTCTGACGAGGTTAACCCTCAGCCGTCCAAATCCTGGTTGGAGTCTCTGGACACTGCAGATCTTCCTTCTGCCTCAGACACGGCAGAAAGTTTCAGCAGGAATCGTTCCTGCAGTGAGAACATTCACACACACAGCAGCTCCATAATCCTGCAGCTCCTGATCACATCACATTTACCTCACACTCAGCCTTAACTCAGCGCCTCCAACTGAAGTTTATATCAACAGTAGGCCCGCTGGACAGCTGTGGTAAATGTCAATGTGAGCATAAAATTTGATTTCCTGCTGATGAACTGAGGAGGCCTCAGTCAATGGCTGAAGAGTCTAAAGCTGGAGGTCTGAACTTCAGTCACATGTTCACTGAGGTAAAGTTCACTGTGACGGAGATCATAGGAGATAGAGACCAGGAGCTACTGCACACGTGTTCACAGTAAGACCTGAGGGCTAGCTCACACGAATCAAACATCTGTCCCATTACAGATGTTTGACAACACGAGTCGTACCCCCGAGTTTGGACTTCAAACCTCTGTCTGAAGATAATCGATGCTTCACAAGAAACATCGACTCTGCAAACACGTAACGCCCAAACGAGGCAAAACACGACACACACACACACACACACTTTCATATCTTGGTGGGAACATCTAATTGACTTACCCTAACCATCAAAAATGAATGCCTAATCCTAACCATAGCCTAACTGTAACTTTCACACTAAAACCACATTTTGAGTCTCAAAATGCCTTCAATCTCATGGGGACAGCCTTTTGTTGCCATAACGGACTGTTGGCCCCCCCAAAAATAGTAAAATTCCAAGTTTTGGTCCTCACAAAGATATGTAAACGTGGTACACACACACACACACACACACACACACACACACACACACACACACACACACACACACACACACACACACACACACACACACGTCTCACTGTGACTTTTCTTTTTGTGTTTGGCAGACGAACGAAGAAAATAGATTTCGTCAGATCCTGTGAACAAAGATAAAGCAGATAATGAGGTCATGGATCATGTCTAATTTCTCTGAAACCCAATAAATCAAACAAAGATTCACAGGTGAACGGAACCTGCTCAGGTTCAGTTCACCTAACTCACCTGGAGTCTCAAACTCAACTCCAAGTCTCAGTTTGTTTCAAGAATAAAAGCACCTAAATCTGAAGTAATGAAGACTACAGCATGTGGTGTTCAGAGAAATCTGTGCATGTTGTTTAGTCCTCACTGACGTCATGACCTTAAACCATTTCTAACATCAGCTCCTCTCACAGGTAACATTCCCACCTGCAGACACCTTACAGTCAGCTACCCATTGTACCACCCCGATCACGGATGTCATCTCTGAACCAAGCTTTATTATAAATGAGGTCCAGAATGATCCAGGACAGCCTCACCATTTCCCAGGAGGAGGAGGGAGAAGGGAGGAAGGAGGGTCCTCACCGTAAAGAGCTTTGGCACTGGTCTTGGCTTTGTGCATTGCAGGCTCTGGAGATGGAGCATCATGGCCGCTGGGACAGAAAGCAGAACAGAGTTAGGAAGTCAAAGGTCAGATCTGAGATCAGCTGATGATGCAACCAACAGCAGCTTCTGATTGGACGCCAGGTGATTTTACCTGACAGGGATACTGCGTGAGTGTTTGGTTTTATTTCACTTCATCTCTGAGGTGTCCGAGTTTGGCTTCTGTTACAGTTTTATTTATGATGTCACTTCCTGCCTCCCCTCCTGTGCTGATCTCAAACCGGCATCCCGCCTGTGTCACTCGATACTTTTGCACGTTCACACTTTAATTCGCCACATGAAGACGTTTATAATGAATGAGCGCGATTACAGACTACATCAGAGCCACGCCGGCACAAAACCTGACACCTTACAGGAAGCGCAGCACAGCAGCTGGTCATGTGACACACCGCTGATGATTGCCACACAAATGAATCTGTGCCAGGAACTCACAGGAAGTTATTCTTATGAAGTTATACGCGAGACCCTCTTTAAATGATTATTGACTTTATAAATAAATAAAATCAATAATCATTGATTTCAGATCAATATCCAGTCTCCATATATGACTCCAAGCCAGAGAAATTAGCTGGTCTATCCCAGATTATCCTCTTATGTGGGCAGGGACACGCTGATGTTTTTAGGGCTGGGGACAGTGAATAAACACACGAACCAGGAAAAACAGAACGGTCCTGCTTCAGAACCAGAAACCATGAGATCCGGTCTCTGCTCCTCCAGAGGTCAGACAGCTGCTTCCTGTCCACATCTCAGTTTATTTCTTAATAACACCGTCACAGAAGCAGATGCCTCGGTATAGACGTAACAGAGACCAGTAAAGCTCCTGAAGCGTGTCCGGTTTGAGTTTTCATTAATTTTTAATCTGAGGTTTTCTCAGAGAGAAGCTGAGCTGCAGTAATATTTAACTTCTACTGCTGAGAGACGAGAAGCGTCAGCACGGATAAGAAACTCAGAGACGCTTTCAGTTGGCCACAAAAATCCTCCAAAAACTGTCATTTTACAAACAAACAACAAAAGTTCTGACTTAACCATTAAAATTGTTTAATGGGCACTACTCAGTAATAACTGGAATTATTAACAAAACTGAACATTGTCATGCACACTTCAAATACATTTAAAATTGAAACTGTAAATATTTTTTAAGCTTTACCAAAGACTATACAAAAGTATGTTTTAAATAATAATTACTATTTTATAATAATTCATAATACAAGACTTACTAATGAAAGATTTCAGTCGTTACAATTAATCTGCAGTTAAACTTAAATTTACTCAGTTCATTTACATCACAAATTTATGGTTGTATTTTATGGTATTTTTAAAAAGAAAAGTTGTAGTTTTGTAATCTTATTTTGAAATCTGTTGAATATTTAAAACTAATACTTACCAAATTGTTTAAACTATTTTAAAAATAGCCACAAAATATACACACAACGAAAATTGAAACTGTTCAAAATAAAATGTTTTATACATTAACCTCAGTTATTTACTTAAAGAATTGATGAACGAAATTTACCAGAGTCCAGTAAAAGCTCAGTATTAAAATAAAACTTTAAAAACCTGAAGAGATTCTCTTATTTCAGAAACAATCAGTGTCACAGAAACAGCACAGGTTATGCCTCATATCAGAGTAAGCATTATTAACAGTGTTTCACATTCAAAAAGTGACCATGTGAGCTAACGTGGCTAACATGGCCAATAGCAGAAAAGGCTGCTGGGAAACTCACTTGATGGGCGAGCTGTAGGAGCCGAAGACGCCCGAGGCGAGAGCTGGAGGTTCGTATCCGTTCATGCTGCTTCACGGTGGACCATCAGCTGGAAGAGACGCAGACGCACCATGAGTCACATGACCACACTGCTGGGTCAAAGGCTAGCTCTGGGTAAATGTAATACATTTATCTGCTGTGACCAAACATCTGCACAAAGCTCATACCTCCTGACACTACTGGAATGCACTGGTGCCGTAAAACCACAATTTTATTGATATATGCTGAGGTGTCAAAACTCATCATTTTACTAAAACTAAATTAGTGGAAACGGCACAAAAAAGGCCAAACAGCAGCTCTTCAGAGGCCTGTGGGTCCCCTAAAACTCTATAACTCCTAAAAGCTGAAAATGAAGCTGCCACGCTGCCGTTCCTCTGACATCCAGCAGAGGCAGCAGTGGTTCAACCTGTAAGGTATGGACGCTACGATGACAGAGCAACCACCTGACCGCCAACATGGCTGCTGCGAGTACTGCCAGAGCATCCAGGATGGCTGCTGAAACGCGAGGGTTTAATCTGGATGTTTCTGAGTGCTGAGTGGCGAGTCGCCCTCAGAGAGTTCATCTCATTAATGGCTCGTTGGGCGTTCCCCACGGAGCGGCAGGGAAATTAAAACTGCGTGGCACACAAAGGGGGCCCGAGCATATTTATGGTAGTTAATGACACAGTATGTACAGTGCAGCCACGCGTGATTACTTTTCCCACAGCGCCATTCAGCTGGGACTCATAGCCATGGTAACCAGGCTGCAGCCATACTGTTTGTGCTGCAGAGGAGGAAAACCTGTGAGACCGCAATCAGGGAGAGATGAGTCCACAGCAGGAAGTGATGTAACGACAGCAGAGTGAAAATACCAAAACACCATCTCAAAATACACTGGCTGGTTAGCTCCTCCGATCATGAGCCCTCGCGGGTGACAGCAGCAGAAACATGAGGACACAAAGGTGAGGAAGAGTCAAGGTACAGGCATTACAACCCAAACCAACTGAGACTAGGGCCAAGGCCGGATCTGTGACCTCATCGAGACCCTGCCTCCAGCGTGACAGGAAGCCATCACAACCCCAAATAAGCCCAATATACGTCAATGTTTTCAAAAGGTACAAAGACAGCAGATACAGAAAGCAATGAAGAAGAACCAACCACATAATCCGCTGTGTGCTTCTCCACTAAACCAATACAATCCAAACGCAGGAACACCGCCACTGATTAATGACGTTCAGAAAATAAATTTTTTTGAAAATCCAGTTCAGCTCTAAATGTTCATGTCTGAAGGCTGTGATGTCTCTGGTGGGCGGTGACGCTACTGCAGGATCGTTTGAGTGTTTCGAAATTTGAATGATCATTTACGTTTTACTCCACCATCAGCATCTGGCTTGATTCTACACTGATTCCAAATTTGTCATCCTGACTTTAACTTGCTCACCTGAGCACGTCCACCCACCTGTGCAGCCCCAGTGGCTTTAAATCCTCATCATTACTCCCACAAAGCCCCGCCCACTCTGATGGATATGAAGTTAATTTTCCACCACCTCCTCCTGACACCCCAGGAAGCTGAAGGGGTCAAAGATCACGCTGGTTAGGCTCAGTTTTGTCATCTCTATTTGCTCTGGGAGGAGATGCGGTCACCACGGCGAGAGCCACTTCTTCTTTTCTCACTTATCTTAGGCGGGGCATCAATGGCGCTGTGAGGTCAGCAAGCTTTACGATAACGAGGCGTTTACAGCATGATTGTTTAAATAGAGTTTCCTGAACGTTTCCCGGTATCCTTCACTCAGCAGGAGGAAGGTGGGGATTAGGTGTGTGTAGAGTTAAAGCTCCTTACCGATCCTGTGACACACACTTTAATCCTTTAAATGCCATGTGGATTTCAAAGTAAAAGCACACAGATTTAAACTGGTTTGTAGTGCTGGGCGATATGACGATATATATCGTGTGAACGATAGAAAAATGGCTATCGTGCCGTTTGTCTTCTGTCGTTTCTAACCTAATTTTATAATTTATTACATAAAATATATAATTAAATAGCCTAGGGCAAATATATCAGCGTTGTCTTCTCACTATACAGACTCTATTTTCTCTTGCGTAAATTTAAAAAAAAAAAAAAAGGAAAGGTTTTTCACAAAGAAACTCCGTCTTGTTGTTTTGCGACATGGTGCTGCTTTACGTGCACCCAGATTTGCAACATGCTTTACAGTAACTCAAAACGATGGATGCGCGACAGGTTGCAGTTTCATGCCCGGACATGCAACAGGACGGCTACACAGGCAGCTCAAGAAGAAGCACTTTTACCGAAAAGAGGGGGTACATCTGGCATTTGGTTATAATTTTTGAAAAACAAAACAAAACAAAAAAATTAAAAGTGAAGGCCACAGCTGTTTTCATTTGATACATTTATATTGCTGCACTAAAATGTATGTTTGTCATTTTTGTGACAGTTCCGTTAAATGTCTCTTCAAAATAAAGTTGGAGAAAAGAAACTTTTCAGAGAATAACTGGAAACGTGGCAATATTGTGGTATATCGTGATATAAAATAATTCATATCGTGATAAATATTTTTTCCATATCGCCCAGCACTACTGGTTTGTGTCAGGAAAAGAAAAAGTTCACTTTGATTCTCGCTGTGAGTCACACCTAAAAGCCCCCTCAGTTACCCACAGTCGTATCAGGCTACAAAAAATAAAATGCCATGTTTATTATGAGTGTACATTATGAATATAGGACGCTGTGATGTCACAAAAATATGCATGTGAGGACAGGTCGGCTTTCAAAGGAACTCCAGCTGTGAATAATAAATGTGTTGAGGTGAGCGGCGGGAGGAGAGGAGAGTGACATGTTAAAGAAAAGAGATGAAGCGGGGAGTCACCAGGCTGATAAGAACGTCCTTGTCGGTCACTCATTAACTGTGTGTTTGATCTGGGAGGCGTTTCCACGCCGACACTGGAAAAACACCCTGCTCGAGCCGCCACACGCTCTGGGCCTCTAGACCTGGAAAGGTCTGACATGAAGCAAGAACCGTGAGACTCCACCCACATAAAAGAGATGACACTGATGTCAGGGTTCAGAAGGTCACCGCAGCACCGTCGGCTTCCCTCCATCTTTACTCCGACAACAAACATCCACCTCACAGCGTTCCACTGAAACAAATTCAGGATCAAACTCTAATACAAGTGAAGGTGGAGAAGAACACACACCCTCAATCCAGTGCTCCGCTCACACTGCATCCATGTTTCAGAGAGAAGACATTTTCTACAACTCCTCCTTTTAGTTTAAATCTCAGAGTTTTTCCCATTTCCTCACTGAGGTTTCTCAGTGCAGATGGTGAACGAACTCTGCTCATCTCTCAGATATTAAACTGCTTGTGAAACAGCTCTGTTACCATGGAAACTGCTTCTGGTGTCTGCCGCTGCCTCACAAACCATCAGCTGACACAGGAGAGCCATCGCCGCCACGTCTCATCCGCTCAATCACAACTTCATCACCGTGCCCCTCCAATTTTCAGTTTCCCAGTCCCTGATCTCAGATGGCGGTCATGAGTCATGTGACTGGCTTCACAGTGAGGAGACATTGATTAACGTCCTCCGATTGGTCTGTAACCCAAATACTGAGCGTGTTCTGCAGCTTCAGCAGGAGGAACAGTTTGATGCCTCAAAGTTCACTTTCAAATCTTTTATGACACGTTTATTTTCATGTTCTCTAGTTTTATATTTTTCTGTAAATTATTTTGACTTCTTTAACTCTTTTCTTTATTATTTTATTTACATTTGTGAGAATTTTTCTTAGGTGGTGTATTATTTTTTTTTTTTTTAAATCAGTTTTCATGACTTTCTTGTAACTTCAATTATTTGCAGTGTTTTGTCTCATTTCCAATTTTATTTAATCATGTCTCTTTAGATTTCCCTGGTTTCTTTTTCTAGCAAGTACCTTTAAAAACATAATTTCATTCATTTATTTCTTCATTTTTTTATTTTATAGTGTTATTTTTAATCAGTTTTTAAAGATTGTTGCAGATTTGAATGTGAACTGTATGTTGAAGAAACACTTTATTAAATAAAAAGGTAAAACAAAAATTGGTGTCAGTGATCGGGTCACTGACACCAATTCGCTCACAGCTCCATCACCTCCGGAAAAGATCCATACTCATCAGCAGTGACCGTGTGGTGCTGACATTGGACGCTGCAGCACGTGTTCGCCAGCTGACCCGCTTTCAGACCCACAGCTGGAGGCACCTTTCCACCTGCAGTTTGCTCAAGAGCAGGTCCGCGAGGGCCGGCGCAGTAAAGGAGGCTAAAAATAATCCTGAGTAATCCTGAAAGTGCTGAAGTCTTCATTCCTGCTCAGAGGGTCACGGTGCCCATTACAGGCGGCCTCGTTACACCGGCTCACAGCAAGGGAGTACCGAGGAGCACACTGCACAGAGTGAGTGGAGAGTGGCTCGTCTCTGTGAGAGTGAGTTTCAGTGAACAAGTGCATCTACAAACACACCGAGCATCATTGACTGACACAGATTGTGGCAGGCACGGCAGCAGTCACAACCATGACCTGCTGACATCATGGAGGTCACACTGAAGGGCGCTTCAAACAGTTTCAGCAGAAACTTCCTCCAGTCAGAGCCACAGAACTGAACTGATCTCAAAGAAGTTCTGAGCTCTGATTACACCTGCCGCCAAACACAAACATGCCCCGTGGGCCTGCTGATTGGTCAATCCACCTCGTCAGCAGGTATTTGAGACAAAAGCGGAAAAGAATAAAGAGGCGTCCACGCCAGCTGAATGAATCAAATGGTTTGATTACCTCTTCAGCATGCCATCGTGTTTGGCAAAGGCCTGATAACAAGCCATTCATTTGATTCGGGTGTGTGGGAACAAGGATGCATCTAAAAGCTGCAGGACGGTAGCTCTCGAGGACCGGGACTGGGCACCCTTGATTTACACCCTGAGGACAGACAGGAAACCTTTGGCACCGTGAGCTGAACCGGCTCAAACTGCCAAACTGCAGCCTCAGAGTGACGACTGCAGCGGATCCAAAAATCGCAGCATAAAAGCAACTTCCTGTTGTCTCCTCAGGAGCTCTGATACAATGTTTTGTGCCACGTGGATCATTCACAGACATTCAGTCCCTGTTTATTGGTCCTAAATTCTGTTCAGGTTAGGATAAACCCCGCCCACTCACATCAGCAGTTCTCTTCGCTTCCATTGGAGGGAGTATCAGTCACTTGTCTGACTGAGGTTTGGGTTTAACAAAGATCTCCTCGGGACTCAAAACATCTGGCTGCAGATGCTGTGATTCATGATAAACTAAGATCGTTGTGACCTGAGACCACCAGTTTGTGAGAGACAGCCAATCACAGGAAGCAGCTTTGAAAGGGAGGAGTTAGAACTTGGAGAGCGGATTATTCTGAATCCAGAAATTGAACCGCGGAATCCTTGCAGCAGACAAACCCACAGACGGCGTCTTCTCAGACCACAAAGCCTCGGTAACAAACCAAGCGAGCACCTACCTGTCCAAGTCGTCCACAGGTGAGCGGAGTGTGAGGTCGATGCCGCAGACGGCTCAAATAAAGCTTCTCTGACTCCAAGCATCATGTGGTGGATTAGCGAGGATCCAGGGCTTGGTGCAGCACCGGGATTCGCTGCAGCAGCGAGTTGGCGTCCAGGATCCTCTGCTTTAAGCCTGACTAATCACTAATGACGGACAGGTGGGGGATAGGGAAGGGGCGGGGCTTCCAACTGACAGGTGGCAGTGGAAACACCGAGTGGGCTTAAAACTCTCAGTTTACTCTGTGCAGAAGAGTCATGCAACACCCAATACTGTTATCAAAACTGGTCGCTAAGGAAATGTGCGGTTTATTTTTGTTTTCTTTTAGAATAAATGACTCATTGTGAGGGAAACGCATCTTATCAGCAGGCCACGCCCACCGCACCCATGGAGATCAATAAAGTTTAATCTAACCTGCAGCGATAATGGGTCCTGATTCATCTGTGGTGCTGACCCGCTTTAAAAATAAAATGTTATTTGTTTCACACAGCTGCTGCCTGATGACATCACACTTCAGTGTCACGATTACTTATTGATCTTCAGCAGCTGATCAACAGAGCCTCTGATTCAGACTCAAAGCTTCTCCTGAAGCTCAGAGTGCAGACAGATCTTCAGTTATTGATCAGTTATTGCTCACAGGTCATCTGGACTGGATCAGAAGTTTGATCAGCAGAGAAGAAGAACCTGGGATTTGTTGATCTGGCATTTCATGGCTTCATAAACCAAATGTGTCCCCATGACTCCTCTTTGACGATTCAGTAGTGTCACAGAAACCAAACACCAGTCTCCAGGCAGGACTTTAATACCTGATGATATCACCGACTCTGATCAGGTACCTAACACACGTGAGCGTGTTGTTGTGTTTCCTTCTTCTGTTGTTGGATCCTCGAGTAGAGCACAGCAAATGTCCTCGGATTCTTCTCACAGAGCTTTGTGCATCGCAGCGCCCCCAACAGGTCAAAGTCTCAACTTTCAGATTCAACTTCCTGTTTCTGAGTACAGTCTCATCTCTGATTGGTCCATGCTGATTGGTCCATGCTGCCCTCCGTGTGGAGGATGGGGCAGGCGGGCCGTGGTGTGCTTCAGTAAATGAAGAGTCAGTCCCTCAGGAGGTCCTGAGCTCCTTTACTTCCTGTCTTTGCTCCTTACGACAGCGTGTGATACCTGGTGTTAGGTGAGACAGGTGAGTCGCAGGTGAAACAGGTGTGCCGACGCCCTTGCCTCCTCTTTGTTCTGCTAAAAATCAGACCGCTGGCTCAGTCCGAAACCCGACTCCCAACCGGCCCCAGTTTCCCATTTCAAAGCCATAATCCTGTAGCAACACCTGGCAGGTACGGTTACATCACACTGTCGTCACAGCAACCACAACACAGCCAAACAGGGAGAGCTCCAGGGAGACGCCCAGAAGATGGGACAGACGTTTTTCACTTTGATCTCAGAGTTCATGGGAAAAGTTTATAAGTGATATCATCATAATGCGTGTTTCCACTCCATTTGTACCTGCTGTTGACATCACACACAGACCCTCATGACAACACGTCCACTGACCCTGGAGTCAGTTATGGTGCACAGTACAGCACAGTTAAGACCCGCTCACCATGGACAAAACCCTCCAACCACCAAGCTGAACACAATCAGAGGTGGAGTGGAGCAGCACAGGCATGGAAACATCCAGAAATATCCTGCGAGGCTCTCAGGAGGATGGCAGGCTGACGATGGTTCCCATGAAGAGCACTGATCCAAGACCAGCTGTGGCCTGCAGCAGCCTGACAGGAAGCCCACATACAAACACTCGATTACACAACCAGCTCAAAGGTCCTCCAACTGTTCAGCTTCAGAGCCCGCTGACCTTTGACCTGCAGGAAAAACAACCCCATCTTCCAGCAGTAAACACACACACAGCTGAAGCAGGTCTGATCACACCTTCTGTCAGAACCACTTCAGTGAAGTAACAGTGACCTAGACGTGACCTCAGAGAGGCTCATTATGGTGTATGGGGGAAGGAGCTTTCTGATAAACATCAGGTGACTGTGACCCGGTCAGGTCACTCACCTAGCTGCTCTGCTCTCGGCAGTGATGGCACGAGGTTCAGTGCACCACATGAATCCAGGTGTTAGCCGGTACCACCGGGAGGAGCAGAGAGCTTCCAGGCCGAGCCGAACAAGTGGAGCACCGGGCAGCCCTGTGCATATAGCCGGGGAGGGTCGCCTGCTGCCTGGGCCGCCTCACACACCTGCCCGCTGACTGCTCGGATCCGCCATCAAAAGCAGGCAGGTGTTTTTATTCCGGAGAGAGCGAGCACCCGGGCGCAGGGAGGAGCTGCCCTTCACCTTCATTTACTATTATGAACACACAGTGTGCCAAACTCCATTTAAGATTCTGTTGATTTAGGAAGAACTGGACTCCAGCCAGAATAAATGAAGGTGTGGGCTGTAAATGAGAAGCTGGGAGCTGAAATGGAAGCTTCCAGCCATTCCGGCGCACACACTGCCCGCTCCTAGCACCTCTATCCGGAATAAACTGGCATTAAAGTTGGTCTTTAGCTCCAGTCACCCATCCACTAAGACTCTTGAGACACACCAACAGCAACAGAGAGCGCGGCCATAAAAGTTTAATTTACACTCACTTGAGCCCTGTCTGTGTTTTTGAGTGAAGCCGAACTGAGGCCGAGACACTGGAGCTTCAGGTAAAGAGGACTCGGGTATGTGTGTGCGCGCGCGCGGTCACAGCTTCACTGTGTGTGATCTTTCCGGCGGAATCTGGTGTGGGAGCCCGTGACCGCAGGGCTGCTGCCACAGAGCAGAGGGCAGCTCAGCTGCTCCGGTCCGCAGTTCCACTAAGGTCAGAGGCTCGAAGCCGCTCACAGACCACCACCCACGGCTCAGAGCCGCCGGACTAACCCGGACCTCAACGCCCCCCCTCCGCGGCGGATCAGGAGACTCACCTGCAGGTGCGGCTTCAAAAATCCCGAGGTCACAGAGACATGGCACAGTCCGCGCTGAGAGCTCCGGGCGCTTCACCGGCTCCTGCCTGCACTCTGTGTCTGAATAACTGCACTCCTGTTCGGCTGCGGGAGCTCCTAGCGGAGATTAATCTGCGGCTGACTCTGGATCAGCTTTAAAGCAACGGACCGCAGTAGAGGGCGGTGTGTGCCCTGAGTGAGGACTGACAGGACAGTCTGCCTACTTGACCACGCCTCCTTCACGCCAATCAGGTCGTTCAGTCTGACGTCACTAGCCGTGTCTGGGCCTAAACTCTGCTGCAGGTCCATATATCAAATGATTACTCAGCATTACTGAGAGTTGAAACACTGTCTAAAGTCTTTCATCTTTAATAAAATGATCAGCGTTCTGCTCTACCAGTTGTAACAATTGAGTTTAACATCCAGGCATCCATGAAAACGGAATTTATGACATTTAACGGAGTTAGAAGTTAGCAGGAAGTTAGCTCGCTAGCTTCTATCTAAATACAATATAGCATGTCCTGACTGCGGGGTTTTGGACGTGATAACAGAGCTGTACGTTTGAATTTGTTTCCAAAACCCCGCAGTCAGGACATGCTATATTGTATTTAGATAGAAGCTAGCGAGCTAACTTCCTGCTAACTTCTAACTCCGTTAAATGTCATAAATTCCGTTTTCATGGATGCCTGGATGTTAAACTCAATTGTTACACCTGGTAGAGCAGAACGCTGATCATTTTATTAAAGATGAAAGACTTTAGACAGTGTTTCAACTCTCAGTAATGCTGAGTAATCATTTGATATATGGACCTGCAGCAGAGTTTAGGCCCAGACACGGCTAGTGACGTCAGACTGAACAATCGGCTAATATGAACTAATGAAATAGTTATGATATTGGTAATACAGAGAAATAAAAAACAAAAATAACTGGAAACATTTTATTATCAATATTTTTTTATTGAAGTTACAGTGTGTCAATTTTTCACTAACAGATGTCAGTAGCTGGAGTCTGCTGAGTTTTGTTTTCTTAACCCTCCCAAATCAAGAGCATAATCCTAGCTACGGTGGCTGCTGTAGGACAAAAATGTTTTAATCAGCCAAGAGAGATCAAAGACACTGAATCTAGATTTTACCTCATAACAACTGGCATATTTCTACTACTTTTTAAAAAATACATTATAAACACATTTGAATAATATCAATACTTACCAATAAATCTGGAATAAAACCCAGAAATGTGTCAATTAGATATTTTGGGTTCTCCTCAAAAATGTGGGCTACTGTTCATCTGCAAAGTTGCAGGTTCAGATCTGGCTCGGAGTTTTCCCTCTTGCAAAGGCTGGCAGTGTGTATCTGTTTACTCTGGAGGAGGCTGCAAAACTTCATGAAAGGACTCAGACATAAATAAATGGTAAATGGCCTGCATTTGTATAGCGCTTTACTAGTCCCTAAGGACCCCAAAGCGCTTTACACTACATTCAGTCATTCACCCATTCACACACACATTCACACACTGGCAATGGCAAGCTACATTGTAGCCACAGCTGCCCTGGGGCGCACTGACATGAGTCGATGACTCAGTTATTAAGCTCAGATCCCACTGATAAAAACTATAGGTGAGCTGCTGAGGATATGCTGAACTTTTCTGCCGTAACACTGCTGTTTGTTCCACTGCTGGGCTACGCTAGCTGCTACTAACATCCATTAGCTTCTGTTAGCATCTGTTAGCCCTGTCTATAACACAGTGTAAAAACGTAATTAACCTGTTTTTATATTAGATGGATTTTACATTATTGTGGATTGAATGTTATTAGTGCACCAGTTCAGTGCTCGCCACTGAAAGCTATAAATATCTTAAAAATATTCCAAAATGAGGGACATATTGATTTTTGATCTATAAATGTCTCAATTAACCAATAATCTTCAATTTATTGAGACAGTGCTGATCAGGTCACCTAAAGCTGCCTTCCAGCCTACACTCAGGGAAGAAGGGGGCCCTCGCAGTGATAAGGCAGCGAGGGCCCCCCTGCTGGGACAGGACACACTCAGCAACAGAGAGGCAGAACCTCTGCCTGCAGTAAAACACCATGGTACTAGTACTCACTAAAAGTATCCGAGTATAGTCAGGACTCTTCCACGTGGCCTGAACCCAGAGATCAGTTTGTTAGCCAGAATCCTCAGGGAGAAGAGCTGTGAATGATGAAATAATGTAATGAAAATAATCCAAAAATCAGTCAATTGTCATGGTGACGACAATGAAAACAGGAGGTCATGTGACTGGAATTTCTGTAAAACCTTTTGTGAAAAGACTCAGAGTTCGTAACTGCGGCTAGCCTTATGCACACGTGTTTGTAAGAGTTTCACCTTCAGGAGGAGAATATCTTAATGAGTCACACAAATATGGCAAATGTGAATTAAAAGTCT